GTTATTTTCCTTAAAGCTATGGAAAAAAGCATGGCAGCGCATATATGAATATTGTGTAACCCCGGTTGTCATCACCACGACAAAAAGCTGACCTCTGTCCCTAGCCTAATCTCCCCCCAGCTTCTCATAACTTAATTCTTATTTTTAAAAACCTGAGTTTAATTGAATATTGTAGCCAGAATAGAAAGCAACTGTTTAAGAAATGAGTTCATTCACCACCACCAAATGGTGTGAAGTTACAATGACAAGAACCTCATGCACGTGCATTTCTGTGTCACACAGCATCTGAAATGACAACTACGCTTTGCACTTCCACCAAGGACTTCCAAGAGAGAGTTCAATAAAATAACTGGTGAAAATACCAGGTGCCACAATGAAATTTCTAGGTGCCATGATAGGGATTTGGTGAGCCCTACATTAGACCCTCTCTCTTCTCTCTCCTACGGAAACTAAGGCTGAGCTCGTGTAACTGGAATTGCTGCATATTCTTCTGCTGCTTGTCCACTCTCTTCCCTCCGCTAGTCTCCTCTATTTCAGTCTTTAGATTGTGAGGTCCCGGGGGAACCCTTAAAGTCCCGTAGAGTACCATAGTTGCTGTCTGTGCTATGAAAACAATAAATGCTTGTCATCCTGGAAGCCAAAAGACTGCAAGGAATAGAGTAGCTTCCCAGTAATCCAGAGCTGGCTGGATGCATGTCTCTGGCAAGACAGACCGAGTAGAGCTGGGGAGCTCTGCTTAGCATGACACAAGCGCCTGTTGTGTTGTGTTTGAACAAAAATATAAACTACAGATAAGCTTTTGGCTGGTTGCCAACAGCAAGTAAGCACTTCCTCCTTTTGGCTGGGCAGAGAACCTCTGGTTAATTTTAAGATGGCTCATCTTCCCACCCCCCCCCCTTTATTCCGTTGATACTCTGCAAATGATGAACATGCCTATGTGGGCAAGCTGACCAGTATAACGGCGAGTGACTTGGTAACTTTTGTAGACTAACTTGAATTAGTAGAGCGAGCTGTGATCTTTTGTGTTCCCTTCTTGAAAACATCCCAAATATCTTGAAAATATCCCAAATATGCGCTGCCATGCTTTTTTCCATAGCTTTAAGGAAAATAACTGTGAAAGGTTTGGGATTAGGCTTTGTGGTAGTAATAACTAGAAAATATGGTTATTAAAATGAGCCTGCCTGTGCAGGCAAGGCGGGATATAAATTGAAATTAATAAATAATAAATAAAATATAAAACCCTGAAGTCTAAAAAATGCCTGGCTTCTAAAGCCAACGAAAATTTGTCAAGGCCTGGAAAAAACTGCTGAACTGCAGAGAACACTGCCTTTTCCACGCCTTATCCAAGGCTGTTGCAGCTGCCAAATACCCTTGCATGATGAATACTGCACTGCACGGCTTCTCAGTGATGTCACAGCAATGAAGGTTACTGCCGTGCCAGTGTGCAGACCCAAGTCTGCCCCCCATTTGGTGGCGCAGTGCCACTAGCTGTGAAATGCAACTACACAATTACAGAAAATAAGGCTGTACCGAAGGTCAAATGAAGTGTTGCAACTGACTTCAGGTTTACACCCTCTCTCTGTAAGTTGCTGGAACAGCCACTCAAGGCATGCTAATTGCCTGAATGTTTTTAAAGGTTTCTCAAGCAAAACGTCTAGTACAAAAAGCATTTAGCAGTACTCACGGAATCCCAGAGTTGGAAGGGGCCATACAGGCCATCTAGCCCAACTCCCTGCCCAATGCAGGTTCAGTCTAGAGCATCCCTGACAAGTGTTTGTCCAGCCGCTGCTTAAAGACTGCCAGTTAGGGGGAACTCACCACCTCCCTAGGCAGCTGATTTCACTGTTGTTCTAGATTCCACAGAGCAGACACTGGACTGATCGAACAACAAAACAGTAACTAAGAACACTTGCAGCCCACCCACAGCAGGCAACCTCCAGCCCCCTCTCTCACACAATGGAGCAGTGGGAGGGGAAAAAATGAGGAGGGGAATCAACAGCACACATGCCATGACATCACTTCCAGGTGAGCAGAAAGAAGTGATGTCACAGCATCTGTGACAATCTAGGAATTTACCCAATTCAGGACCACGGTGATATCATTTCGTGGCACATGAAAATGACATCACAATGTCAGCAACACTCCCCCTGCCCATGTGCTAAACCCTCAGATGCTCGCAGGTTGCCAAGTCCAGGGTTGGAAACCCACACAAAGACAAAAATTCATTTCTAATGGCCTTTCTACACCCCTCAAACGATAGTTTATTAAGATATTTTTATTGAAGTTTCCAAAAGCAAATCCAACATACAAATATTCCTACAATTCACAACAGATGAGCATACAGCCTTTCCTTCCAAACTCTATATACAAACCAACATTCCTAACCCTTCACGCTCAATTTCCAATTATAGAATTTTCTCCAGTTTTCTTCGAAAAAAGATTCATCTTTCCCCTTTAATATACATGATATTTTATCCATTTCAGCGACTTCAAATAGTTTTTGTGTAACCTCTATCCTATCAGGGATTTTTTCCCTTTTCCAATACTTGGCAAATAATATTCTGGCGGCCGTTATACAGTGCAACAACAAATTTTTCTTGACTTTTCCATATATCTCTGGAACCATATTGAGTAGAAACAGCTCTGGTTTAAGAGGAATTGGAACTTTCATAATTTCTTTTAACATTTTACCTATCATCTTCCAATACTCCTTTGCTCTACTACATGCCCACCACATATGGAAGTACGTGCCTACATTCTGTCTACATTTCCAACATACATAAGAGGTTGTCTTGGAGAACTTTGCTAGTCTAGCTGGGTAGATGTACCATCTAAGAGCCACTTTGTAGATGTACACCCCTCAGACAATAGTTGAATAATACATTAGAAGCTGTAATTTACAAAGAATTAACAGAAATTAATGATGAACATGGCTTGGCTACACAACTTTTACCTAGCCATAGCCACGTACACTCCTTAAAACCAAAAACTCCGGTCCATATTTGTGTGGCAAAGGGAACAGAAGGTAGGCAGAGACCATGCCCTGTAGTACATCAACAGTCATTGTATGACTTTAATTCCAGCAAATTAAAAGACAAGTCCAGTGGCAGTGGCACCTTAAAAATGAATAAAATGTATGCCAGCATAAGCTTTCATGAGTCAGAGTGCATTACATGAAGTGAGCTCTGACTCACGAAAGCTCATGTCAGAAAAAAAACCTGTTAAGTCTTCTAGGCCACTGGACTTCTGTTTTATCCTGCAACAGGTAAACAAGAGGTTACAGCTGCTCTATGGCTGTACAAAAGCTTTATAATGCAGAAACAAATCTTCAACAGAAAAGTGGGACATCTCTATGCATCCTCACAGTATTTACATAGTATTCCACGAGGTCTGCCAGCTCAACAGGGAGAAATGCCAGCAGATGAGCAATTATACAGAATGTTAGCTAAGAGGAGCCGTCCCACCCATCCTCACCTCAAAAAACCACTTGCTTCTTGCCTAAAAAGACACCACCCCAGAGCTGTAGAATCATTTTCAGGGCCAGAACTCAACTGACAGATCAGTTACGCAACTCAGTTTCATTTAACACGGACAGATTTTCTTATAAAAGTGATTATTTTTAAAAGTCTGAATCAAAACAGCAATGGACGGATTGAATAATAACCCATTTATGACGAGGGCTGCAAATTATTTACATGAATACCGAAGGGGGGGGACCCTGGTCTTAAACAGAAGCCTCTGACTCTTTGAGATTGAGACCAGGATACCGTTTAAAGAATCTCTAAAACAATTCATAAACTGGACCTTGTATTAAGTTCACAAAATATCCTGCTCAGCTAGTAACAATGAAATACACAGAGTCATGGCTGGCTAAAACCCTATGGAAGTCCTAAACACTTTATGCCTCCTTTGCAGAGGTCATTTCGGGGGGATCGCGGGGGATCGCAGTTCCCCCGGGTGAGGTATGGGGGGCGGGGCACATGATGAAGCCCCGCCCCCTGCTTCCGGCCGCCCCGCTTCCGGCCCTCATTCAGCCAGAAGGAGGCAGGAGAAGAGGGAGGGTAAGTTGCTTCCTCCCTGCCTCTCCCCACCCCTGCCTGCCTGGGGCCAGGGAGGGCCTTTGCGGGGCTTTCTTGCACTCCCACTGGCCTTGCAGGTCCACCGCCGGGCCCCTCATGGGGCTTCCTTGCACTCCCACTGGCCTTGCAGGTCCACCGCCGGGCCCCTCCTGGGGTTTGGCAGTGGAGCTGCAAGGCCGCCACCGGCGGCCGGGACCGTTGGGGGCGGGATGTGTGGCCTTATGACACACTTCCGGTGATGTCAGGGGGTGTGGCCTTATGACACACTTCCGGTGATGTCAAGGGGTGTGGCATATGCTAATGAGTTATGCTAATGAGTTCCCCTAGCTCTTTTTCTACGAAACGACCCCTGCTCCTTTGATACAAGGAGCACACACTAGTCAGAACAAGTGTATGAACTGCAAAAGAGAGTATTGGTAGGGCTAGAAATGCGAATCCACAGACATGTGATTCAACATTCTTCCATAAAAGAGAGAACACACACCAGGAACTCCATGGTGACAAAGGTTCAAGTAATATTGAACCAGTAGGCTGAATAGCCCAGACTAGCCCCATTTTGTCAGAGCTTGGGCTGGCCACACTCAGTACTTGGATGGGAGACCACCAAGAAAGATGGCGGCAGCTATGCAGAGGAAGGCAATGGCAAACCACCTCTTATCTCTTGCCTTGAAAACCTCGTGGTCCTGGGGTCACCATGAGTCAGCTGCAATTTGACAGCACACAATTTTTATTAGTTCTTAAAATCCCATGATAACCTCACCCTGACAAAAAGATCCAATTACATTTCGTCCTTATCTGAGCAGTTCGGATAAATAATCAGTGTACAATTCAATTAATTCCCAGGACATTGCTTAATATTCAATCAGACACGGTGGCTTTCCCCAAACTAAAGCAGGTATGAAATTAATTCAGTCGTGTTACCTCAACAATGTCCGAGTTGGTTCTGCTCTCGTGAGGCTCGTTGTATTCCGTGTATTTGAGAAGAACTTTGTCCATATCTGTGCTGGCGTACTGAAAGAGTTTGTTAGAACTGTTAAAAATGATGAGTGCTATTTCACAGTCACAGAGCACGCTCAGTTCGTAGGCTTTCTTCATTAATCCAAACTTCCTTTTCGTAAAGGTCACCTACACAAGAGAGAAAACAGAAGGGTGGTTTTTTTTTTAAGGAAAGCACACAGAACACTTGGCACAGCAATACATAATAGTCAGTGCAGGGTCTCTACAAATGGAGCATCATCAAAATAGCAAACTTTTAACAAAGGAGTCCTTGACATGGATAGCCCAGGCTAGCCCGAGCTGCGGTGGCTCAAGTGGTTAAGACGCTGAACTGCAGGCTGTGGAAGGTCAGTAGTGCAGCAGTTCGAGACCCGAGTTGCCGCATGACGGAGTGAGCTCCCGTCTCTAGTTCCAGCTCCTGCCAACCTAGCAGTTCGAAAGCAAGACATTGCAAGTAGATAAATAGGTACCACTTCGGTGGGAAGGTAACAGCGTTCCGTCCACCTTGGTGTTTAGTCATGCCGGCCACATGACCATGGAAACGTCTTCGGACAGCGCTGGCTCTTCGGCTTTGAAACGGAGATGAGCACCGCAACCCTAGAGTCGGACTCGACTGGCTTTCGAGCGAGGGAACCTTTACCTTTACCTTACAGAAACTAAACAGGGTCAGCCCTGCTCAGTACTTGGATAGAAGACTACCGAGGAAGTCCAGGGTTCCTATGCAGGGGCAGGTAATGGCAAGCCACCTCTGTGTTTCTTGCCTTGAAAAACCATGAGGGATCATCACAAATACAGGAGAGCAGAGTAGGTTTAAACTGTATTTCTCTTCATAAAATGGGTTTTGACATAAATACACCAAGAATTTACTGATCTTGAGTAGATTTGCTACAGTCCCTCGTTGATATGTTTCAGGGAAGTGAAGGTTTGGGAAACCTGTACATGAATGCAGGCAAAGGCTAATTTAATCTATTTACTACATTTTTATCTCACCATTCGTCCAAGGAGCTCAAGGTAGCTTATATCTATCTCCCTCTATATATCCTCACAATCCAGTGAAGAAATGTAATCAGAGAATGACCGGCCAAAGGTCACCCAGCAATCGACATGGCACAAGGTGGATCTGAACCCGAATCTCCCAGATCCTAGTGCGACACTCTAACCTAGAGGTGTCAAACATATGGCCCGTGGGCTGGATCTGGCCCCCACAGGGCTTGTATCTGGCCTGTGAGCGACTGGGTCTCATCTGCTTCCTTCTTCCTCTCTCCTGCTTCCTTCTGCATCACAGCCAATGTCCCCTCTAAGCTATGGAGTCTTGTGAGCAAAAATTCTACTTTGTGAGCTACTGGCATTAAAGTTGTGAGCAAGTGATTTGGCTACTGTATAAATTAGTTTGCTCTGGTGCCATCCTTCCTGAGCTAAGACAAAAATGTGTGAGCTGGAGGCTAAAAAAACTGACTCACACTAACTCAGCTCAGAGGGAACACTGATCACAGCTTGCTTTGCCAGGCTCTCTCAATCGCACAGGAGCTACAGAGCAAAGCCTCTCTTCCCTCCATTGGCTGAGGCTCCTCCCCTCTCCTCCTCCCTTGGGAGAGGGAGGGAATGCGTGAGAGATTGGTAATGCCAGGCTCTCTTAATCGCACAATAGAGCTACTAAGCCAAGCCTCTCTTCCCTTCCCCTCCTCATCCCCCAGGGGGAGGGAAA